AACAGCAATGCAAATCGCTGTACCAGCCTTCCTGTCCTCCTCCTCCTCCTCCTCGGCATCCGACGACCTTGTGAAGGAAATTCTACCTGCCTCCTTACATCTGCTGGCAGGTGTACACGATCCCAATTTTACATGCTCTGCCACCGTGCAGGCCCATCACCTCAACCACCATCCATAAAAGCCCACAAGCAATCCAGCTGGGATGACCTCATTGTAGACCAAGTTGCTGCAGAGTGCTTGGGTGCTGCAACAACACAGTACGACATTACTCGCCTCACAGCAGTAGCAGCCCCACATGCAGGGGATTTCCTATTAGCAACCCCAATGTCGGCAACTGGCACACGTCTCACACCACACGCCCTCCGAATTGCTGTGGCCCTCCGAATTGCTGTGGCCCTCCGCCTAGCTGCTACAATCCACACCAAACATAGGTATATTTGCGGTGAGGTGGTGGCCGACAGTAGGCCACCATGGCCTACTCGGCCAAAATACAGGGGATTGGCACTCGAGGCACAGTGAAGTTAACGACATCGTCAGTAGGAGCCTTACCACAGCAGGATGCCCAGCTGAAAGAGAGCCCCGTTACGTAACGCCCCATAACTCTGATGCTCCTATTGGTCGCCCAGATGGTATCACAGTGAACCCCTGGAAGAATGGCAGGCAGTTGGTGTGGGACAACACGTGCGTATCAACCCTGGCTAACACCTACATTGACTTGAGAGTTGCACAACCAGGTGGCGCTGCCACTCACATGGAATCAGCCAAATCCCATAAGTACAGAGAACTGGATCACCACTACAATTTTGTCCCCCATTGCATCTGAGACACTCGGTGCCTGGGGTAAGAGTGCCACTAGTTGTTTTGAAGGAACTGAGTTCTAGGCTAATTGAAACAACAAGAGACCCTAGAGCTGCCAGCTTCCTTTACCAGCGCCTCAGTGTGGCGATACAGAAAGGAAATGCACACTGCATTCAGGGCTCCTGCCCGCCATCTGAGGAGCTGGAGGAACTCGATAACTTATGACAATCATCTACGTACCCTATATGTAACTCCTATTTTGTAACAAAGTTTAAATAAAACAAATATATATGTGTATATACAAAAGAATGCGGGTGGTAGGAGAAGAAAATATTAATGTGTTCAGTGAGAATCCACAAGGTCTTCTCTGAATACTCCTTATTTTCTTCTCCGAGGCCATGGGTCCCCACATTTGCAATCAATCTATCCAATTTTGGTGTTCAGAGAAACTCCGAAGAAACAGATAGTCGAATGGTCTTGCGACATTCACCACCACGAACACAAACAGTGAGACGCATGAAAACGGACGCGTTCCATCCTCAGTTGAGACTAAAGGTTTTGAGAAAGTTATCAAAACCGGATTCAACACATCCCTTCAGAACCTAGCACGACGCACGCGTGTCTGAACCACCACCACTACTACCATTACTACTACTACCACTACTACTACTATTACTACCATTCTGGCTAGTACTTATACTTCTGTGTCTACTACTGATACTATTTCTACTTTGTCTACTACTAGTAGTTACGACTACAACTATTGCTGCCACTTCCCCTACTGCTATTACTGCTACTTCCTGTGTTTATACTGCATTTCTTACTACTACTACTACTACTACTACTACTACTACTACTACTACTACTACCACTACTACTACTACTACTACTACTACTACTACTACTACCACTACTACTACTACTACTACTACTACTACTACTACCCACTACTACTACTACTACTACCACTACCACTACTACTACTACTACTACTACTACTTTTACTACTACTACTACTACTACTACTACTACTACTACTACTACTTTTACTACTACTACTACTACTACTACTTTTACTACTACTACTACTACTACTACTTTTACTACTACTACTACTACTACTACTACTACTACTACTACTACTACTACTACTTTTACTACTACTACTAATACTACTACTACTACTACTTTTACTACTACTACTACTACCACTACTACTACTACTACTACTATACTACTACTACTACTACTACTACTACTACTACTTTTACTACTACTACTACTACTACTACTACTACTACTACCACCACCACCACCACCACCACCACCACCACCAACGTAGGAAAAGTGAGGACCAGCGTAGGAAGAGAAAGCAGGCAGCACTACAAAATAAGGGAAAACCATAGCAGAACTGCTTAAGCAGACACGATTATTCCTACAAAGCAGGAATAATTTAAGCAGTGAGATTGAAGAAATCGAGCAGAGACTGAAGCAATCATATCATATTGAAGAAATCCAGTTAGAACAGAAAGTCATACAAGAGATAAAGATAAACCCAAAATATTTCTTCACATTCACGAAATCAAAAGCAAAAACCATTGTCAGTGTTGGATCTATTCTCATATGTGAAGGTTCATACACAGAGAATGACATAGAAATTAGTGAAATCTTAAAAAAAATACAGTTTGAGGACATGTTTAGCACCCCAATAAACAGCATAAAATTGGAAGATCCGGACATCTTCTTTATGCATGATATCCATACCCCTGTAAATATGAATGATAGCAACAGTTACAACGTGGCAGATTTTCAAAGAGAAGTTGACAACATGCATTCAGCCCCGGGTCCAGATTCACGGAATTCAATATTTATAAAGAAATGCAAAGTGCCAGTAGCACAGGTACTCAGTATAGTGTGGAGGAAGAGCTTGGACACGGGGGACACCAGATGCGCTTAAAGCAGCAGATATAATTCCTTTTCATAAGGGGGAGAGCAAAGCATTTGTTAGGAATTATAGACCAATTGCACTAACGTCCCACATAATAAAAGTATTTGAGAGAGAGTGATCAGGGCTCAGGTCACCAGTTTCATGGCGACCAATGACCTTCACAACTCAGGCCAACATGAATTTAGAGCGGGAAGATCGTCCCTCTCACAGCTACTTGACCATTACGACAAAGTCACTGAGGCATTAGAAGAACAAAATGCAGATTTGATATACACGAACTTTGCAAAAGCATTTGATAAATGTGACCATAGAGTGATAGCACACAAAATGAGGTCAATGGGAATAACTGGTAAAATAGGACGGTGGATATTAAATTTTCATTCGAACAAAACACAAAGAGTAACAGTCAACCATATAAAACCGAGTCTAAGCGCAGTTAAAAGCTCTGTACCTCAGGGTACAGTCCTTGCACCATTGCTTTTCATATTATCATATCAGATATAGAAAAAATACAAGTCACAGCTTCGTATCATCTTTTTGCAGATGACACAAAAATCAGCATGAAAATTTCTTCTGTTGAAGACATTGATAAACAACAAGCAGATATTAATAAAGTTTTCGACTGGGCAACAGAAAATAATGTGATGTTTAACAGTGATAAATTCCAGGTACTCTGGTACGGTAAAAATGAGGACCTTAAACAAAATGCAGGGTACAAAACACAATCAAATGTGCCCATAGTAGGGAAGCAGCATGTAAAGGATCTGGGAATAATGATGTCTGACGACCTAACATTTAGGGAGCATAACCAAGCAAATATTGCGTCAGCTAGAAAAATGATAGGATGGATTATGAGAACCTTCAAATCCAGGGATCCCATCACAATGGTCATACTATTCAAATCACTTGTGCTGTCCCGCCTTGAGTACTGCTCGGTACTCACTTCCCCCTTCAGAGCAGGAGAGGTTGCTGAAGTAGAGAGAATTCAGGAAACATGTATGACATACATAAACGCAATAAAGATCCTAAATTATTGAGATCGTCTCAAAGCTCTCAAAATGTACTCTCTAGAAAGGAGACGAGAGAGGTATCAAATAATATATACATGGAAGATACTGGAGGGCCAAGTCCCAAATTTACACAGTAAAATAACAACATACTGGAGTGAACGATATGGAAGGAAATGCAGAATAGAGCCAGTGAAGAGTAGAGGTGCCATAGGCACAATCAGAGAACACTGTATGAACATCAGAGGTCCACGGTTGTTCAATATCCTCCCAGCAAGTATAAGAAATATTGCCGGAACAAAAGTGGACTTCTTCAAGAGAAAACTAGATAAGTTTTCTGCAAGAAGCGCCGGACCAACCGGGCTGTAGTGGATATGTGGGCCTGCGGGCCGCTCCAAGCAACGGCCTGTTGGACCAAACTCTCACAAGTCAAGCCTGGCCCCGGGCCGGGCTGGGGAGTAGAACAACTCCCAGAACCCTATCCAGGTACTCCCTGAAGAACATTGCATTAACATCTTCTAACTTGTTCAGTATTTTAAAAGTTTCAATGAGTTCCGTCCTGTCATGCTTGGTTGGAAGTGTTGTTAGCAATGTGGCCTTCAACTGCTCCTGATACGAGAGATGACTTAGCTCTAGAATGACTTTTGTTGCCCGGTGTTGCATCTTTTGCAGAGCAACGATGTCCTTCTGAAAATGAGGACTCCAGGCTCTGATACAGTAATCCAAATGGGGGCGCACTAGAGTTTTCGTGTCCTGTATACAATTAATAGCGCTTAACGTGAACTTTGTTGGTTGTAACAGTCCATTTAGTACGATCGACCCAATAGTTGCTGAGAATACTATCATTTCAGGAGAATGGGCTTAGATCTCTCCTAAGACACTGATCGGCTGCCCTCATTTTCTCAGTCATGTGGCATATTCCCCTCAACGCTGTTTGCATCTACTCCCGTCTTCTTCCCCACCTTTATCATACCTTCCCCTGCTCTCACTCTTCGCTTTATTTCTTTAATGTCTTCCCTTTCCTTCCTTTTTATCTTGCTGTTTTATCCTGCACTCATATCCTGTCCCTCCCTCTCCCTATTATCCCTCGGCCCCCCTCCCTCGTCCTACCCTATCCCCCCAACCTTGCCCATCCCCCTTCCTAACTCTACCCCCATCCCCCACCTGCTCCCTACCCTGCTTTTTTTTTTTGCGGGTGACATTTAGGTGATTTACGTCACACAGGAAACGAGATTATGAAGCGCCTCGATAGGAAACCAAAGGCTCTGGAGAGTGTTGCCTCCGCAGAGACTCTCGAAGTGGCACTCCATATGGTGTACAGTGACTCGGTGGCTCCCTGCACGGTGGGTAGTGTTGTTGTATGGGACCCAAGGTGACTCTCAGTACGGTGGGTAGTGTTGTATGGGACCCACCGTGGTACTTCAGACGGTGGGTAGTGTTGTATGGGACCCACCGTGGTACTTCAGACGGTGGGTAGTGTTGTATGGGACCCACCGTGGTACTTCAGACGGTGGGTAGTGTTGTATGGGACCCACTATGGTACTTCAGACGGTGGGGTAGTGTTGTTGTATGGGACGCAAGGTGACTCAGTACGGTGGGTTGTATTGTACGTGACCTGTAACGTACGATTATGTTACGTTGTTTTGTAGATTAGATACGCAGAGTTTAGTGTTTTGATATTTATTTAGTAGTCTTGTAGTACAGCAGTCGGTTGTTGGCAGTGTCGTAGAGGTTAAGACGAAGCTTGGAGTAGAGCAGAGTGCTGAGTGAGGCCGGGGGTAGAGAGCTCGCATGCGGGGTGAGAGTCGTAGAGCACGCCGCTCTGAATGTGGGCAGAATCGAGGAGTTCGATGCGGCCGGAGTCTGGCTGTCTGCTGTGTCGAGGCCGAAGTCTCTTGGAGTCAGTAGGAACTGGACACGCCGAGTGCTAGATTCTTGAGGATGAAGATGTGCGGTAACTCACAAGCGTCTGTACTGATGATGATTGATTGATGGAGATTAAGCCATCCAAAAGGTGGCACGGGCATGAATAGCCCGTAAGATGATTATTTGTTTGTTGTTGTTTAAGATTCAGCTACTCGGAACAGAACGTTTCAAGTAGCACGGGCTATGGTGAGCCCGTAATGGACTTACCTGGCACAGGAGCGGGGCTGTAACTCGTGTGAATGGGAGGATTATTTGCTATCGGGTGCTTAAATAATCGGTGCCCACCTCACCTAATAGGTTGTAATTAGTGCTAATTGTAACTATGGAAGTGGTGTGAGTTATCAATAGTGGATTAAGTAGACTTAACAAACTCATTTCATTAAGCTAATGAGAGTTTGGAGCGAGTATATTATTGCCATAATATACTCACTACAGACCCACCATGGTACTTCAGACGGTGGGTAGTGTTGTATGTGACCCACCGTGGTACTTCAGACGGTGGGTAGTGTTGTATGGGACCCACCGTGGTACTTCAGACGGTGGGTAGTGTTGTATGGGACCCACCGTGGTACTTCAGACGGTGGGTAGTGTTGTATGGGACCCACCGTGGTACTTCAGACGGTGGGTAGTGTTGTATGGGACCCACCGTGGTACTTCAGGCGGTGGGTAGTAGTGTAGTGTCTTTCAATGGTCAACAGATAATATGATGTTTAATGAAGATAAGTTCCAGCTCTTGCGTTATGGACAAAACGAAAATATAAAAACGGAAACCTTATATAAAACTCGGTCAAATAACACTGTTAAACGAAAATGCAATGTAAAGGATCTAGGAGTAATCATGTCGGAAAACGTTACTTTTAAAGAACACAAGAAAGCAACTGCCACAACTGCAAGAAAAATGACTGGTAGGATAACAAGACAGTCCGTCCTCCTAAGGTTTCCCAATGTCAACAAAACGGTCAATTTAATGTGTCGTTTCCTAACCTACCAGAGGACACAAAGTAGAAAACGGGACAGTACATCACTTTCGCCAGCCTCTTTCTTTTTTCTAGTACGACAATTTTTGGCCTTATGTAACGCATACGTGCGAAAGGCGACGGTCTTTGTAGGAGAACAGGTTGAACAAGAACCTTTCAAACAAAGGATGCCATATCAATGATATTTATCACGACACTAGTGCTCTCTAGGGTGGAATATTGTTGCACACTAACAACCCCATTCAGAGCGGGAGAAACTGTTAACCTGGAGAACGTGCAAAGATCCTTCACTGATAGAATGCACTCTTTAAAACATCTAAAGTATTTGAACCTTTTAAAACTTCAAAATCTATCTTTTCGAAAGCGCAGGCGAGAGAGATATATAATAATTTACACGTGAAAAATATTAGAGGGCATGGCAGAATGTGCAGAATAGCCCCACTTAAAAGCAGAGGTGCAATAGGTACGCTGAAAGAGAACCTTATCAACATCAAAGGCCCAAGACTTTTCAACACTCCCGCTACACATAAGGGACTTAACAGGCCGCCCTCTCACGGTGTTCAAGAGAACTCGATAAACACCTCCAATGGATTCCTGATAAACCAGACTGTAATTAATACTTCAGAACAGTTTGGTGAACCAGACGACTAACCAGGAGGCTTGGTCAGAGACCGGGCCGCGGGGACGTTGATCCTCGGAACCACCATAAGGTAGATGGAGTGATAGCAATCACACTGGAAAGAATGAGATGCAATGACAGTAAAATGAGGGGAATATAATATGACGTATTGGCAGTAGTGAGGGGGATAGAATATGACACATTCCCAGAAGAGTGAGGGGTAAGAATGATACACATTGTAAGTAAAGTTTGGTGAATCACACTGGAAAGAATAAGAAACAATGGCAGTAGAGTGAGAAGAGTTACATTGAAAAGTATGAGACTGCCAGTAAAGTGATGGAATTCACACGGGAACAAATGAGAGAATGCTGGAAGAGCAAGAAGAGCCACACTGGAAATAATGACAAGTAAGTAAGTAATTATCAAAAGAAGGCACCAAACCGGGAAGGCTATGTAGCACCATCAAATACGCAAAATAATCAGAGGGCGCTAAATATCACCAAGGATGTCAATACGAGAACAAAAACGCATAAGGCGAACGATATCAAAAGTATCCGAGCCACCAAGAATTCTATCGAGGGACAGGTGACGGCGAGGGGCGGTCGGAAAGCAAGACACACGCTCGTCCTGGAAGTCAGGACATTCAAGAAGGACATGCACGACCATAAGAGGGACAATGCAACTAGGACAATAAGGGGCAGGGCGGCGCTCCATCAAGTGACCATGGGTTAAGCGAGTATTGCCAATACGCAACCTCGCCAGAGCTGTTTCCCACCTCCGGTTACGGTGGAAGGAGGACGTCCACGAGGAAACACAACATTTAAGAGTACGTAGCTTGTTACCAGTAACAGACAACCAAGAAGCCTGCCAATGGGTAAGGACTGAGGAATGGATAACCGGGTAAAAGTCGGAATACGGAATGCCTTTATGAGAGATGGGACAAGAGCGGACAGCTTCCTTGGCGGCAGCATCCGCACGCTCATTTAAAGACACACCAATATGGTTGGGAACCCAACAAAACTCAACCGACTTAAATTTACTGTGAACGAGAAACAGCCAATGCTGGATCTCGACAACTACTGGATGAACCGGATTAAAGGACCCAAGAGCCATGAGGGCATTACGAGAGTCAACAACAACTACAAAGGAAGACTGACAACGAGAAAGCAATAAGTGCGATCAGGAAAAACAACAGAATAGCCAACACCGTCCGCTGACTTAGACCCATCGGTGAAGACAGAAACGGAGTGGGAGTGAGAAGAAAAGTGCTCGAGGAAAAGGCGTTTTAGAACCGTAGGAGGGGTAAAAGCTTTAGTGATACGGGTCAAGGATGTACAAAACCGCAGAAGAGGGACCCTCCACGGGGGCAAAGAAGGAACAACACGAGGAGAAACATCAGAAATACGAACGGAAAGAGAATCCTGTAGGCGAGATAACCGGACAGAAAGAGGGAGGTGGTGAAGAGGAACAGGAACCGCAGGAGGGGTAAAAGTTAAAGCACGACAGAGGCGAGAGGAAGGATGTTGCAAGGACCGTGCAAGATAGCGAAGACAGTAGCGATCACGGCAGTCCTGGAGAGACAGGAAGCCAGTGTCAACATACAAGCTAAGGATGGGAGTCGAACGAAAGGCACCAGAACTGAGGCGCAACCCAGTATGGTGCAAAGCATCAAGACGGCGAAGAGTAGAAGGAGAAGCAGACGAGTAAGCAGGGCAACCATAATCGAGCTTAGACAGGACGAGAGAGGAATGTAAAGCAAGGAGAGTGCGCCTATCTGCCCCCCAAGAAGTATGGGACAAGACCCGAAGGAGGGTAAGGGCCTTAGAGCACTCAACACGGAGGTAAGAGATATGGGGAGACCAAGACAAACGAGTGTCAAGGAATAACCCCAAAAGCTTCGCGGAATCTTTGTATTCAAGGGGATGACCATAAAGTGACAAAGAGGGACGAAGAACAACCCGTTTCCGCGTAAAAGTCATGGCACTAGTCTTAGAAGTAGAGAACTTGAAGCCATGATCTGTGGCCCAAGACGACACGGCATCAATTGCAAGTTGAAGCCGGCGTTGAAGGAGAGGCGAATCATCATCCTGACAACAAAGGGTAAGATCATCGACATAGAGAGCGGAGAAGACACCAGAAGGAAGAGAGGAAAGAAGACCATTGAGGGCAACCAGAAAAAGAGTAGTGCTCAGAACACTACCCTGGGGCACACCTTCGTATTGCTGAAAAGAGGGAGAGAGAGAGCGGTACCAAGGCGCACCCGAAAGGAACGACGAGAGAGGAAGCTGCGGAGAAAGAGAGGGAGATGATCACGAAGGCCAAAAGAATGAAGTTGAGATAGGATATGATTACGCCAAGTGGTGGCGTAAGCCTTTTCCAGGTCAAAAAGGACGGCAACAACGGAGGTCTTCGCAGCAAAAGCAGTACGAATATAGACCTCCAAGTTCACCAGGACATCTGTCCTGCTGCGGCACTTGTGGAAACCAAATTGAGAAGGGGAGAGGAGGTGATGGTGTTCCAGGAACCACATCAGACGAACGTTAACCATACGTTCAAAGAGTTTGCAGACACAACTTGTGAGAGCAATAGGGCGAAAGTCCTTAGGGGAAGTACCCAGAGACCCCGGTTTGCGAACATGGAGGACAACGGCATCGGGCCAGTCCTCAGGGACTGACGACGACTCCCAGATCCGATTATACAGACTCAGTAAATACTGAGACGTGCACGGAGGGAGATGGCGAAGCATCTCATAATAAATACCATCGGAGCCCGCCGCCGTAGAACCGCAGAGGGCCAGGGCAGAACGAAGTTCAGAGAGAGAGAAGGGATCATTATAGGGAAGCTGAAGATGAGTGCAGAAATCTAAAGGACGAGACTCAAGGACAGGTTTACGAAGAAGGAAAGATTGGGGAAGATGAAGACCAGAGCTAACAGAAGAAAAGTGGGAACCCAGTTCGGAAGCGACCTGCAACGGGTCCGCCACACGAGTATCATGGAGGTCAAGGATTGGTGAAACATCGAGAACGAACTTACCCGCTATGGTTGATTGGTTGATATCTTGCTATCTATGCTATCTTGCGGATACGCTTCCAGATCTGGGTCAGAGGGGTTTCGGACGTAATTGTTGAGACATAAGATGCCCAACATTCACGTTTAGCCGTACGGATGGCCCTACGGGCCACCGCACTCGCTTTCCGAAAGAAAAGAAAAGAATCGGTTGTCTGCCTACGGCGGTGTCTCTTCCAGGCTGCACGCATACAGCGGACAGCCCGAGCACAGTCCGCATTCCACCAGGGAACGCACTTCCGCGGACCCCGAGAGGAAGAGTGAGGAATAGAGCAGAGGGCAGCGTTGAAGACAGTGTCATGAAAAAGGAGGAGAGCGCGAGAGAGAGGCAGAAGGGAGAGGTCAGAGAGAGCAGCACTGAGGGTAAATAGGGTCCAGTCTGCCTTAGCAAACTGCCACCTAGGGAAAGAGAGGGAAGGGCGAAAAGAGAAAAAGGAAACAAGGATGGGGAAATGATCACTTCCATGGAGGTCATCAAGAACCTGCCACGTGAAATCTAAGTAAAGAGAAGAAGAGCAGAGAGAAAGATCAAGACAAGAAAGGGTGCGAGTCCGAGAGTCCAAATGAGTGGGCTCACCAGAATTCAGAAGAGACAGGGAAGAAGAGAGGAGAAACGGCTCAAGGAGGCGACCCCGGGTATTCGTCAGAACGTCACCCCAAAGGGAATGACGACAATTGAAGTCACCCAGCAGGAGCACAGGCTCTGGCAAGGAGTCTAGGAGGTGTTTCAAATCAGGAAGAGAGAGCGGGACACTCGGGGGGAGATAAATGGAACAAACTGTGTACCATTTCCCCACAAAGATACGAGCAGCAGAACAATGGAGAGGCGAAGGAAAAAGTAAAGGAACAAAGGGAACATCAGCACGAATCAAGAGAGCAGAAGAATTAGAAGCCCCCCAGCAATGGCTCGGGGGGGGGGGGGAGAGAAAGGAATAGCCACGAAAACGACGAGGACGAGCACCAAGCATTGGCTCCTGGAGACAGACACTAAGGGGCGAAAACCGCGAAATCAGAAGTTGGAGTTCGAGGAAATTGGCGTAATAACCTCGAACGTTCCATTGAAGAATGGACAACGACGAGAAGAGAAAGGACAAAACCAGAGAACAAGGAAGAAACCAAGGCGAAAGAGCAACAGAGCACGTTAAAGAATATCAGGGTCAAAGTCAGGGATAGGGGGCATGGGTAAACTGAGCAAAGACGGAGGGAAGGAAACGGGAGAACAGATCAGAGGTGGGCGGGCGGGGTCCGGAGGAGGAGGAGGAGGAGGAGGAAGAGGAAGAGGAGGAGACAACGGAGAGGAGCAGTCAAGGACAGCAGCAGGAAGAGGGGAGCGCACCCCAGCAAGAGCAGCAACCGAAAGGGAAGCAGGGGCCAAAGAAACCTCCATAGCAGGAACAGGGGGCGCAATCACTGAAACGGGAGGGGAAGGAGCAACTGAACCAGAAGTAGGAGCTGAGGAAGAAAGCGAAGCCTTCTTACCCGCCGGGGAAGAGGAAGGATAGGAGCCAGGCTTACGCTTCTGACTTAAAGAGACCGGTGTCCCAGCAACTACGTACCGGGCAACGGATTCCAGTGTCTCAACAGGAGAAGCCGAACGAGAGCACACACGACGGCCGCTAGGAGAGCGATGGACATCCGCCTGCACCGACAGGCGGTGGGGAGAGCCGATAGATGGAGGAAGAGGACCGGAGGGGGACGAGGAAGAAGACACAGGAGACACGACAGACCGGGTAGAAGGAAGGGGAACCCCGGACAGAGGACCAGGAGGAGGATCCTTCGGGAGAGAACCCAAAGGAACAGAGGAGGGGGCAGTGGGCGCATCAGGGTCCAAGGCCCGGAAACGGTTGTGAGTCTGAGGAAGGCGGGAAGGACGAGGAGAGGAAGAGCGCAACACGCGAGCATAAGAGATATTAGCATAAGGCGGGAGCCGGCGAACCTGGCGTCTCGCCTCAGGAAAAGATAAACGCTCCCGGTGCTTCAAGTTGAGGACGGCTGCCTCAAGCTTGTAATGGACACACGCACGGGAGAAGGTAGGATGGGCCTCACCGCACTTGAGGCAACGAGCCTGGGGAGAAGTGCACTCGGACTTAGAGTGACCTTCGCCACCACACAAAGGACAGAGAGAGACAGTCCCGGAGCAGCGGAGGGCACCATGCCCAAACCTCCAGCACTTGTTGCAGAGCCAAGGAGAAGGAATGTACTCCTGGACAGAGCACCTGGCACCAGCAAGAATGACAGAGGGTGGAAGGGTCCTACCATCACAGGTAATCTTCACAACCCGGAGGGGTTGACGGCGACTACCACGAGGGGGACGAGTAAACGTGTCCACCTGGAGAATAGAATGGCCCTGGGCAGCAAGGATATGCCGAATATCGTCGTGGCAGTCGCGCAGGTCCCGAACACCGGTCGCAACATGGGGCGGGAGCAAAATAGTGCCAACACTGGCATTCAACTGAGCGTTCTTCGAGACCCGAACAGGGGTCTCGCCAAGGCAGGATAAGGCAGCCAAGCGGGAAGCAGCATCCTGAGAAGGAGCAGCAACGACACGTGTACCGAGACGAGTGGGGTTGAAAGTAATGGAGGCATCCACGGAATCAACGAGATGTCGATGGAGGGAGAAATCGTCAGGAGGCGCAGAATCAAGAGGGAGGAGATCAAAATATTTGGCCCACGAAGCGGGACCAAACAAGGCTTGATAGGTAGCAGAACTGGAAGGAATCGAGCGAGGGCGGCCGTGACGAGGATGGCGGTGAGAACCCCCAGAGAGAGGGGGGTTAAAAGGCGCAGTAGTTACAACTAGAGAAGGAGCCGCGCCAGGGGACGAGGTAGTCACCACTGGGGGCCTGGGGCTCGACCCAACCACAGAGGAGGGAGGGGAGCCAGGGGAAGGAGTCAGAGAGGCCAAAGGAGGAGCAAGGTCGGGGCCCAATGCAGCGGAGGCTACAGAGCCCGGTCTTCCAATACGGACCGACTCGGGGGCTTGGTCGCCCACCCCACGAGCCTGAGAAGGTACACCAGAAGCAGCCGAAACAGGGGTTATCATCATTACGAAAAGAAGAATTCATTCACGAATGTGCCCCCACACCCACCATGGAGCCACAATTAGAGGCAGGACACCCAACAAGAAGCTATCGCCGATCTTGCCGGGGCCTCCTAGGGGTGCGTCGTGAGTATACGCCCCACAAACGCCACCTTAAGAAACCGACAGTCCGTCGAGATCGGGTTCAGTGACGAAAGGGGGATTGACAATAAAAGGTTCCCCTCGCTCTCGACGTCGGGTACTACAGTTGCGCGGGTGCAAGAGTATGCCTCCTCAAGCACCCGGGCGTCAAAATAGAAGAAGTCCAAGGGAAGAACCAGAACGAGCAAAAGGTCGGCAGGAAACGGCAAGCAGATAGGAGAAGAGGGGGGAGAAAAACGAAACAGAAGGAAAAGGAAAAGATGCCCAGCAGAATTGGAGAGGACGGCAGCAGGAGCACAAGGCTAGAAAAGGACAGAGGACTGTCCCAAGGAGCATCACACTCCGGCAGCCGTCCACCAAGCCCCCACACGGCGACAACGAGCTGAGCGGGCTGCTGTATGAACTGTGTTGCCAAAGTATATGACAAGTATAAAAATATATATCCATGCCTTCATGCAAGAACAAAACATAATACATTTTATAGAATACATTAATGTCAGTATTCCTTAAATAGGAATACGTAACAGTGATCATGTCTCTCTTAACTCTTCTGTCTTCCAGGGACGTATGGTTTAATTCCAGTAGTCTTTCCTTATAACTCTTTCCTCTCAGTTCTGGGACTAGTCTGGTGGCATACCTATGAATCTTCTCTAACTTGTTCTTGTTTAACTTAGTATGGACTCCAGACTGAGCTGCATACTCCAAGATTGGTTAGACATATGTGATATACAAGAATCTGAATGATTCCTTTCACAAATTTCTAAAGGTAGTTCTTATATTAGCCAATCTATGCCGCTGATGATATCCTCTTCATGTGGGCTTCTGATGTATTAGGGATGGTGGTGTGATGTGCAATGTGGTGGGGGACATGTTTTCTTCTAATTAATTTAGCAATTTGTAGTGGCAAATGTGATTTGAGTTGATCAGTGAGGGAAGAGTGGAGACACAAGTGAGATGAGTAATTGTTGACATCTTTTCTTTAAAGGTGAGAGTGAAGACCATTGTGTGTCACCATCATGACACTCCCGTCGAGGTTCCTCATTATCATGGGTGAGTACCATGACACTGTGGTGGGACCTCTAGGCCAAGGTAATTTAGTGTAGTTACTTATAGTTTCATAGTCAAGCTGAGAACCATTATATAACTAGGTGGGTGCATGTTAAGTGTGTATATTTTAACACCCAATATAATTTAAGGTTTTGACATGTTTAATACATTACTTGTGTAGAAACTGTTAATTTTAACTGCATTATTTGTTATTACACTGCTAGATATTATCACCACCTCAGCATGAAAATGACTAGTCAGACCACTTATGCTAGCGCTACCAATCTTGATAATGGGTGAACATATGCCATCCATAAGAAAGAAATCTCATTTTTTGTTCTTTATATTGGACTCGACCTAAGGATAGCATCTTACACTAAACAATGATAAAAATTGGTTGTCTCAGGGCCGTGTCTCGCAAATTGACCAAGAAGAGAGATTCAATTGATAGCAAGTAAAGAATTTATTAATTTATTATATTTTTATTTTATTTTATTTGCATATACAAGATTTCTTACATTATTGTAAAGCCACTAACACAAATGAATCTGACTGGAAAAATGTGGTAAGTGGGATACAACAAGGGTTCATTTTAGGGCCCACTCTTTTTTGTCATATATTCTATCTCATCATTGACAGATGAGAATACGTTATTACAAACCACATCATCAAATTTGCAGATGACAAAGATTTATGGTAAAGAGGGAAATGAAAATATTGAAGCCTAACAAAGAGATCTACATGAACTCCACAAATGGGTGGACCAACTTGTATAACTGCTGATATCTGCCATGTATAAACTTAAAGAAAATTAAAGTATGTTTATTTAAAATTACTTCTGCGGTTCTGTTGTAATTTCTGCCGTTCCATCCAATATGTAATTGTCATTTTTTTCCTTTTCTAGTTAAATTCATGTCTTTGATCTAAATTAGTTTTAAGTCTTAATTTTTAAGTGTTTTTCCCACATCTTGCCCGATACACTGTGCATATTAGTGGCTTTAGGCATAGTATATACTACCCAGGTAAATCAGGTAGCTCTGTTTAGAAGTCCGACATTCTGTAACTCATTGTGTGTATGTACTTTTACCTGAGTAAACATTATTATTATTATATTACTCACTGAAAGTTGCACAGCAGGTTGGAACATCAGTAAAAAAAAAAATAACCAAATCACTGGAATAAACAAGTGTACCTTTGCTTTTAAACTGATCACCTTGAATCTCTCGCTCTCTCTACATGTTACGGCCACTATGGGTCGCAACCGGGTTCTTTGATGGTAGAACCCAAATGATAGTATCCGACCCCAAGTCGGTAGTACACTTTCAAGAAAGCTCCTGGTTCAACCTTGACGCCGAGCAGACGTCTGGATACCTCCTCCGCCTGGGAGCCGCCGGATCACGTCTTGTTTTCGCGTTTTGGCCGTGCTACTGCCGTTTGGCATCCCTCTTCAACAGTCCGATTGTACGACGCCTGGCGCACATATCGCCTTGGGTCACGGGATTGTTGATAAAAAAAAATTTTGGCGTGTTCTGGCTGGTTCTCCCGGCGGGGTGACGGTGTTCGGGGGCCGGCTTGGCCGAGAGGTGCAGGGGTTTGGCGGGTCTTGGTGGGTTCCTGGTGTGCCCTCAGCTGTGGTGGGCGGCCGGCTTCTGCTCTGCCGGGGAACACTGGATGACTTTTTGCGTTTTAGTTGGGGGCCGAGTTTTGGTTTTGCTACCTGGTGTTCTGTGAGTTGGAAGGGGGGTGCCGGTGCTTGTCACCCCTGCGGGACTCCTGGGACTCCCCAATCATCTGCCTGACTGTGCGTTTATTGCCGTATGGCATATTAGTTTCTAGTGATTGGCGTCACTCGTTTCGCATTTTGGCTTGGCGTTTCACCTTTCCGGGCTTCGCGATTCACCCTTAACGGGTACGCCGGAGCGCATCCGATCCCTCGATCGTCGTCGCCCCTAAATCAACAACAACAACAACTTTAAAAAAAAGAGTGGCTATGTAGTGCATAAAAAAAGAAGGGGATGAAGAAAACTCTGTTCCTTTCGTCAATGTATTAAATCTTTCCACCACCGTTAAGTATATATATGTACACCGTCACCATAAATAATATATTAAGAACAGATAGGCTATTTCTACACCTATGTACAATCCTTTCGCTCAGGATATCAAACGTGCTCACGTGCAGAGTTCATCAATCCCCAGTATTTCTTCACTGTCCAGTAGCGTCTCCAACCTTACTGGGAAGAACACCGGCGAGTTTACCTGTACGTGGGCCAGCCCACTGACAGTGTCTTGAGGTGCCTGTACCCCGTCGACCTCCCTCCAGCTCCTGGCTGGCAGAGTGCTTCAGCCACACACTGAGCGGGATCACAATACAGGGGTAGCGATCCCCTGGCAGCAGTCTCTAGCGACCAGCTAGCACCACTACTCAACAGGCACCTCCCTGTCATCAGTCTCTCCCCTAAGCCAGTCCCAAAGGTACGCCGATCTTTGTCAACACTAAAGCACTAGCAGCTACCACACCGCTTCATCGGCGGCGGCTTACTTGGTCGTTTCCAGGACCATGTAGGGAGACTCTGGATTACCCAAGATGAACTGCCGTCGAGTTGCGTGTTGGACGCGGTCGTGTTTGGGTGTGTTCTGAGTGAGCTCCCGCGGAGGTGGCCGGTGTCATGGCGGCTGCTGGAGGCGCACATGGCGTCTCTCGTACAACCATCGACGATACCTTAGAAGATGTTGGAAAATCACTACTGCATACCACAAAATTGAATCCTGAACGTCACCCGGTCATAGAAGAGCAGCCCGAAGGAGAATTCATGGACAGCAAACACCATAGTAAGGCAAACAGACTGGAGGCAAAGCGCCGCCATTTATCAGAGGTAAACAGAAATGAGGCCGACGCCATGCGGCCTCAATATCCACACCCACCGCTCAACCAAGGTAGGCCAAGCTCTTCTGAGTTACAAACCTTATCATTGCTTTTCAGGGCGAAAATGAGAATATTTTCCGAAATAGTAGGGCACAAAGCATCCTATATAATGCCATTCCCACAAATTCGGAATCTACGTGCACGATATCAGACCAAACAAACTAAAGAACCTGATTGCAGTGGATCAGAAACACAGCGCGGAACTGGAGATTTCAAACATTACTGACATCTGTGGTTACAAAGTTAGGTGCTATAAACCACTAGGAGACAGATTAGTGAAATATGTAATCCGGCATGTTGTAGATATCAGCGCAGAAGACATTAAGGCACAACGAGACGAATGGCATCCCACTATGAAATCAAAAAATTTATGCGACGCACGAACGGAGAACTGAGTGATACAGGCACCGCCCTGCTTACTTTTCTGGACTACGTTCCCCCTGATAGGATTTGGTTAAACGGCTTCCTCCACAAACTAGAGGTGTATGTTCCGCGTCCCACACCAATGTTTTAAATGCAAGGGTTTTAACCATACCTCGAAGGGCTGCACTAAAGATATCAAATGTGGGAAATGCTCTGGTTCCCACTACACACAAAACTGTGCATCGGATACACTCACCTGCTCAAACTGTGGTGGCGAGCATGACATCACATTTTAAACAATGTCCTTCTTACGTAGCAGCAGCAGCGAAAATGAAGGTTCCCCCTACCACCAACCTGCTATATAGCAGTGCATTAAAAAAACCTTCCTCAGCCCATCACCAACCTCTACCTCACACTCAACCACAACCTTCGCTTGTACCGGATATCCCTGTCTCCGACAATCCCGCAACCCCAGGGTCCAACCATCTCTCACAAAAACGCGCAACTGAATCCTGATTTAGTTGAAACTCTCGTCACTCGCCTCGAAAATGATCTTATTGAAACGATCGTCACTTGCATCGAAAATGCACTGGAAAAGACCCTGGACCGACTCCTAACAAAATTTTTGCCCAAGTACCACAACCCACCCCTGAGGTCGACCCAACAGACCCCCCCACCCATCAACAGCTACAGACACTGACATCCGCCCAAATAAAGCTACCAATGCTGGACACACATTGTTTGATCAGATGATGGAAAAAACTCCTAATTACCTCCTTAGCGCGCCTCACCAAAACCACTCCCCAGGCTGACGTGCCACAAACCCCAACCACCAGTACCAAGAGTAAGACACAGCCCCATCCACATCTAGGTGTCCAACTCGTACCACTATGGGCGCACCAAAGAAAGACACATCCACAACCCAAACATCCTAAATGGCTCCCTAACCTTCATGACTTGGAACGCAAAAAGCGTCAAAACATCCCTCACAGAACTTAAACAATTCCTCTACTCATCCAAACCGGACTTAGCATTCATCACCGAATCCTGGCTCACTCCCAAACAAAATCCCGTATTTAAAAACTTTCAGATGCAGAGACTGGACAGACCCAACCGTATGGGGGGTGGTATTTTCCTTCTAACACGAAGTAATATGACATGTAAACCTGTAACACTAACGTATTTTGTGAACGGTAAATTAGAAGTTCTAGCATGCCTAATACCTTATAATGGTACACACATATCCTTTCTGGGTATATACAACCCTGGAGGCACCATAAACTCAAATGAACTGGAATTTTATCTTAACCAATTACGGCAACCGATCATTGTTACAGGTGATCTCAATGCTAACCACCCCACATGGAGTAGAGGTACCCAAAATACTGCAGGCACCGATTTGTACAACTACTTAGACACTACACCATATACTCTTCTTTCGCCGCCCTACCTTGCAACCTACTTTAACTACAGAACCAATTATGAAGCCTCACTGGACATCTGCTTTGGCTCTGCACACTTTCAACATGAACTACAGTTTCATACTGGACCAGATATTGGTAGTGACCACAAACCCCTCATAATAAAATTTACTAACTTTCACCCACCAACCCACCCGCTTACGCTTCCCAAGTGGAACATTAAGTACCTAGACAAGAAAAAATGGGCTGATATTGTCCGCCTCCCAGACACAGACGAAGTAGACCCTAACAAGCGC